AGAAAAGACAGCCTCTTCAACAGATGGTGCTAGAAAAACTGGATATTCACATGTAGAATAAAATTAGAGACTTCTCTCTTACTGTGCACAAAAATCAGCTCCAAATGGATCAAGGACTTCAACATAACACCTTAAACTATGAAACTACAAGAAGAAAAAGTTGAAAATATACAACAAGATACAGGTATAGGTAAGGATTTTCTAAAAAGGACGCCAATAACACAACATAATACCAACAACTGACAAATGGAAGTTCATGAAGTCAGAAAGCTGATGTACAAAGGTGAATCTACTACTATTATTTTGCTAAACGGACATAGTATCAAACAGCCCTCTAAACTCATATCTCTATATCCATAGATAAGTGGAGTTCTCAGACCACTTCAAAGAAATGTCTGTGCAGTAGAGGGTACTTAATGCAGAAGCTCACAAGTGGTCAAAGTGCAGAGAATAAGTACCAGTGGAGTGATGAGCCACAAATGGAACAGCCATAGCACATTCCCTTCTCCACAAGACTCAGGGACGATTATAGAAGAGGGGCACAAAGACTGTAAGAGTTAGAGGTCAGGGAGAACTAAAGTGGGTATGACAGGACTGGTATACTCCTGAACTCACAGTAGCTGTGGGTGCCACATTCCAGCATGGAAGGGGGAGGAGCTCATGAGCTCTACTCCTAGTTGAGGAGCTACTGACAGTTGATGGCTTCCTGGGGGAGGAAGGGTCAGTTTTCTTTAAGGGTGTAATCCATGGTAGGTCAATCATGCTTCAGTGAAAGGGCTCAACACATCAATTTATGGGCACCACAAATTAGTGAGTTATTTCAGGAAGGGAGGGAGGGGGGAGAGAGGGAGAGAAAGAGAAGATATGAAGTTGGGAAGGGATGGGGAGGCAGGAGATGGACCTGGGAGGAATTAGGGGGATTAGGAAGATGAGTGGAGATAAATATGATCAAAATACATTGTGTGTATGCAACAAATTCTCAAAAATAAAAATATTATATTTAAAGAAACATCTACACAGCAATGGACAAAATCAAGTGAAGAAGTAACCTTCAGAATGGGAAAACATATTTGACATCTATACATCTAACAGAGGATTGATACCTAAAATATACAAAAACCTCAAAAAAACTAAACATGAAGAAAACAAATAACCCAATCAAAAAAATGGGCTCTGGAACTGAATAGAGTTCTCAAAATGAGAAATACAAATGATTAAGGAACACTTTAAGAAGTCTTCCACCAGGATGGAGAGATGGCTCAGTTGTTAAGAACACTGGTGCTCTTGCAGAGGACTGGGGTTCAGTTCCCAGCACCCATATGTCACTAGTAACCATCCCTAACTCCAGTTACAGGGGATCTGACACCCTCTTCTGGCCTACTCAGGAACTGCACACGTGTGCACTAATACACATGAAATTTTAAAAAAGTCTTCAACATCCTTAGTCATCAGGGAAATGCAAATTACAGTTATTTTGAGCTTCCATCTCATCTTATTCAGAATGGTTATTATAAAAAAAATCAAATGATGGCAGATGCTATCAAGGTAGTTAGGAAAGAAGAACATTGATTCACTGTTGGTCGAAGTATAGACTGGTGCAGCTACTATGGAAATCAGTATGAAGATTCCCCCAAGAGCTAGAAAAAGAACTACTATATGACCTACCTATACCACTCTTGGACATACACCCAGAGGATTCTGCATCCTACTACAGAGATATTTGCTCATTCATATTCATCGCTGCTCTATTAACAACATCTAGGAAATGGAATCAGCTTAGAAATCTATCAACAGATGAATGGATAAAGAAAATATGTCACATACATACAATAGAATTTTACTCAGCTGTAAAGAAAAATAAAAATGGAACTGGAAAAAATTACACTGAGTAAGGTAATCCAGGCCGAGAGAAACAAATGCTACATGCTCTTTCATACGTGGTTCCTAGCTTTGAAGTTCTACTTTTATGTGTTTAACTTGGAGCACCTGTAAGAACTAAGAAACTAGAAAGGAGCCACTGAGGGATGTTTTAAAGAAAAGGGCTAGTAGAAAATTGGTGACATGAAGGAAGAGAAAAGAAATACAGGGAGTGGAAAGGTTAAGAACTGATGGGACTAGAGTCTGGGGAAGGCAGGGGGGTGGGGAGGAAGGTTAACCAAAATGAAGGGTCTATGAAAAAGTCATATGGGAACTCACTACTTTGTAAGCCAATTAAAAATAAATGGGTTAAAAGTAATTGTTAGGCCGGGTGTGGTGGTGCACGCCTTTAATCCCAGCACCCAGGAGGCAGAGGCAGGCAGATCTCTGTGAGTTCAAGGCCAGCCTGGTCTACATACTGAGTTCCAGGACAGCTGGGGCTATAGGGAGACCCTGTCTCAAAAGACCAAAAAAAAAAAAATAATAATAATAATAATTGTTAGAAGGAAGACATCTTACATGGTTGGATAATGCTGTTCCCAGAAGCCAATGTTTATCAAACAATGCCCCCGAGTGCAGGTGTGGGATACTTCCTTATCAGTACCAGTCAGGGAGGCCACAAAGGCCCCTAAAACAATATAGGTTATTCCTCTTGGTTGTCCCCCAGAACCAGATAAGATCCGATTGCTAAAGACACTATACAACCTGGTTGTAAGATATAGAGATAGCAAGCTGGAATTGGAAGCTTTCATCCTTGCTAGTTAGCTTTCACAGTACTGGAAGGTACCATGCAGGTTGCTGGGGAAGACAAGGCATCAGTGGTGTTACCCAGCTGTAGAACCTAGAAACTACAATGCTAACTTGCCAAACAAGGTATGTCCACTGATGCAAGAGCAGCATGGCTATTACAGGGGTAACCAACTGCTGTCAGACTGGATTTGAGGCCCACTTCATAGGAGGGAATACACACCTGGCACTTACAAGCCCAGTCAACAATCCATGGTTAGAGAGATCACAGACTTTAGCAGGGAACTCATGACTGCTGTTTAGCTGAACTGATGATGCACTAAACTGTAGTGTAAATGTGCTTTTACTTATATAAATGTTACCCTCTCCTTTAATCAGAAAAGCTTTTCTCTGCAGTGAATGGTGTGAATGCAGAGACTCCTGGATACTCAAGATGTTCAGGATGACAGTTAAGTCCTTCACCCCTCTAAGGCTCAGGGAACAATTAAGAAGAGCAGAAAAACATATAAGAGCTGGAAGACAGGGAGAAGAATGTAAAATGCTATCTTCTTCAGGGTATGACACAGCCATTGCAAAGATGCTCTCACAGTGCTACAGATACCTGCACTGAGCCTGCACAAGATGGGGACTATCAACAGCCAATCACAGTTTGGAGAGGGGCTTATGAGGCCCTCTCTTCCCTGCTGAACTATTTGTAATTGATAGATTCTGGGGAAGGGACAGCACTGCCTTCAATTATGTACCAAATGGGGAGTCAACCCAGGTCCAGTGGATAGTGCCAAACCTGTAGTTACACAGATGGTCTTGGTTAAAATCAGTGAGTCATAAAACAAACAAAAAGACATGAATTTGAGAAAGGGAGGATGACAGGGGTGAGAGGATAATGGGGGTGGGAGGAATAACAGAATACTTTATATGCGTGGATACAATTGTCAAAGAACAAACCCTATCTGTCTGTTTGCCTGCCTGCCTACCTACCTACCTACTTACCTACCTATAAAATAAAAAAATCCTTGTAGAGATGGTTTAGATGTTAACATTTATTTAATTCCCATTCAATGTATCTAAAATCTTATAACTAAAAGTGGCTTTTCCGACATACTTCCTCTTGCACTTGTCTTCCGTCTTGAATTCACTGCCCTATCCTTCTATTCATTACCAAGTAGAACCAATGAGCATCTATCCTAGCTTCCTGTTACTCATAGTCACCTAGGCTTACACAACCTTCTCTGTGTATCTAGTCTCTGGTTTTTCTCTGTCTTGGTTTAGACCATTCAGCATCCTTCACCTAACACACTGCAGTATCTCCCTTAGTAGTTTCCCTGCCTCAGGTTTTGATCCTATCCATGTCTATACTAGTAGTAACTTTTCCTACCTGACTGTGATACCATTCTCCTCTTCACTGCTGCCAAAAGAAATCTAAGCTTTCATGGCTGCATAAAGTTTTCTTTGCCTGTCTTCGCTTTCCTGCCTTCCTCATTCTATGAATACTTCTTGAGCACATTTTTTCTTCCCAGTTTTCATACAACTTTACATCTTCCCAAATACTAATACTATATTTTGACAGATTTTCCTTGTAATCTAGTCATCTTTGTAGAATTAGCTTAAAAAATTCTTTCACTGCGTATAGTGGTATACACCTTTAATCCCAGCACTCAGGAGGCAGAGATAGGCAGATCTCTGTGAGACTGAGGCCAGCCTGGTCTTCACACCAGGCCAGCGGGGCAACAGAGAGACCCTGTCTAAAAAAATAAAATAAACAAGATAAAAAAAAATTATTTAGAGCCAGGTGTGGTAGCACAAGCCTTTAATTCCTTTAATCCCACATGTGGGAGGCAGAGGCAGGTGGATATCTGTGAAATCCAGGCCAGCCTGGTCTACATAGTGACTCACAGGCCAGCTTCAGTTACTAGGGAGACCCTGTCTCAAAAGAACAAAAAATAAAACAAAACCAAAACAATCTCTTTGCCAAAGCTAGTCATGATGTCTTCATTAGGGACTCTGCGCTTTCACATTGTAGTATCTTCCGTGGTCACAACTACTATAACAAAGTTGTTCATCTATTTATGTTCTCCTCTGGTGTAGCTTGAGGGTACCAAAGTGCATTTTCATCTTGTATCATAAAGTCTTGGCATTGTGACTAAATCCAATAAAAGAGTGAATCTAATTTTTATAGTTATAAAGAAAGTGAAAAGTTAAGAAACTACAAAAGTGCTGAACAGGAATTAGGACTCTGATTTCCATCCCTTCTGAAACCAGTAGGCAGTGCCCAAACTGGTCAAAAACACACTAATCAACAGGTAAAATGGTTCTGAGTGAAAGATTCTGTTACATACCTTTTGATGAAGAGAAAGGACCATATGTGGAAAACTGGCAAACTGGAAAAGCACAAAGAAAATGAGCTGACTCGATAGATGCTGCCACAGGAGTTGGCTTGTTCCCCCATCGTCAAACTTCTCCTCAGTCTCAGACCGCTCCATGGCATACACCACCAGGTCCACCAACTGGTCCTCCAGCACAGGGCATCGCTGCTTGTGCTGTAGGGCAGAGATTAAATACAGTATTCCAAAAGCCTCCTGGTTAGTTTCAGAAGTCACCAGTTAATGGGCATTAATTGTAACAAGAGGCTGAGAAGCATGGAATGAAGTTGAAGTTAAGGTTGGGTTTAGTCTATTAAAGCTGCATCATGCCACATTATCAGAGGATGAATTTCATGAAAAACATTTCCTTCTGGTCTCCAACTTCCCATTAACTTTTGACTATGGAAATGTTTCAATTTGACAAAAATCCCTTACTTTCCAGGGATTAAATACTAAGAAATGGTATATGTCTGACATAGAAAGGGAGGTGAACCTATGTATTTTAAAGTAACAAGCCCAAGTCTACACTACCATTGTTTATAGAGGTAAACCTAAACAGCTGTCAGATTATTTGATGCCTGTTTTCCAATATGCAGTAATAATCTTGACACTGAAATGGAAATTTCTTCCACAAGAAGTTGATCTCAGATTTAATCTCTGCTTGTCCTCCCATGCAAGCAAAACATAATGCAGCTTTAATTTTGAATTAGACCACTTTAAAATCTAAAACAAGAAAAAGAACAGGTTTAAACACTAACAATGAAAATGCAACTTCCCTTTCTAGAGGCAAAAAGAATTTTGTGCTTTTAAAAAGTGATTTTAAAATGTACTTTGACCAAAGAATTCTGTTAGGCCATATTAAAGTGACTTCATTTTTTCACATCAATGATGGATTACTTAGTAGCAGGCAGTTAGAAGTCTTTCTGGTGAACACACTGCTAGTAAAGATGCTTCCCCTACACTTTAGATGCAATTACCAATGTCTTTTGCCATGAAAAAGGGATATGACTTCTTGAATTTTATAGAAAAAATGCAAAATGGGGACAAATTTGGAAAGAAACAAAACATAATGGATCGCACCCCCTCTTTTGCATGCTCTTCGCCAGCTCCAAAGAGTAAAGCTCCCATATGGCTGCACTTTCTCAATGCATGCAAATAAAACAAACATCTATCCAAAACAGTAAGCGTCAATGGTTGTTTCTTTTTTTTTCAAAAAACACAATGCCATGATCACAGTTCAACCACGTTACAGGATTACAAATAGCAATATTAACACCACCAGCTGAGACTACAGTACTTCTTCTCCAAATGTAATTATCAGTATGAAGCAGAGCAAAGTGCAACGGACAACACTACAGACTATTTCTCAAGTCAGCATGCAAAACTACTGTGTACAGGGCTTGAAATTCACTAGTTCTGCCAACCACCAACAACCTACGAAATGTGTCAGACAACACAAATTTAGAGTGAGATCATTCAAAGTATACAAGAGTCAGAAAAATCTGTGAAAAGAAGGAAAGCCAGGATTTCCAGTAGGAATCTTTCACTAATGATGGGAATTTGATTCTCTTTAGGAGACTAGCCAATTTATCATCTATTTCTCCATCCATAGTAGTCTTCCATCATCAATCTACTTAAGGAAAAAAAAATGCAAACTAAATAAAATTGGTATTTAGTACCTAAGCCACTTTGGAGTTTCCCTTTTGAGTATTAGCTATTTGATTTTAAAAAACCCTAGAATTTCAACTAAATGATTTTAGCCACGCTGTGATGGTCATAAGGTGAATGATTTAAAGAAGAATGTCAAAATACTTAATTTTTTTTAGCAGTTAGAAAATATAGTAAAGCTGATGGTCTTTCAACGTCACCGTGTTTCACCAGCTCCTCCTAACCTTTCAGTTAACAATCAAATGCACTAGAGAATCTCTCTGGTTCCTAATACCCTGCTATCTGGTGGTAGTAGAGTACTTATCAGGATTAATTATAGTTTCTCCTGGTAATTTTGGTCAAAGCTGGGAACATTCCTAAAAACTAACTTAAAAGACAGGTTTAAACATGTTTCTTTATCTGCCAATTTTGATGGCACCAAAAAAGAAAGTCTGAAATACAAAATGATCTGTGCTGCTACTTTTAAGTATGTTTTGTGCTTTGCGGGGGGGGGGGGGGGGGGCCACACCCGATCCTAGCACTCAGGAGGCAGAGGCAGGGCAGTTGCCAAAGTACAAGACTAGCCTGTGGTATGCTGAGTTCCAGGACATCCTGGACTACATAACAAGACCCTGTCTAAAAAAAAAAAAAAGATAAATTTGTTTCAGTTTTCTATTTTATTAAAAAACAGGTAATTTAAAATGAAGATTCTCTATCATGTATCAGATTGCTTTATAAAGTGGACCAAATGTACATTTGTAAAGCAGTTTAATGATTTATAAATAAAAGCGGACTATCAATTACTAGACTAAGATGATTCTATAATCAGTGGATGCTGGCAGACTTATGGCTGGTCACATCTTGTTTTCTGAAAGCACTGGTAAATTTAAGCCTTCAAAATACTGGCACATAATGTTGAAGCTTTTTAGTTCATATCTGTATAAACAGTTTGTGATTTAGTAGTGAGAATATAAAAATCCACTATTTAAAAATCCCTTTCCACCAGGCTTGGTGGCATATACCTTTAATCCCAGCACTTGGGAGGCAGAGGCAGGTGGATCTCTGTGAGTTCAAGGCCAGCCTGGTCTACATAGTGAGTTCCAGGACAGCTGGGGCTACAGGGAGTCGCTGTCTCAAAAAGACCAAAAAAAAAAAAATCCCTTTTCTACATAATTGTCCAAATTGTGTTGTAATCTTATTTTAACTCTCATCCCCAACATGCCTGCTTTGTTCTCACATGTCAACTGGTAGTTGATAATGCTTTTCAGCATTCACTCGCTTCTAGTATTTAGTACATGTAGCATTTCACATAACAGCTCTGGTATTGCTTTCACATTAAACATTTAACATATTTTACTTAGGAGGGCTTAATTCTAAATCATTATTTCAATATAAATCAATTTAAAAATAATATCTATGTCTACTCAGAAACAAGCTGGGAAGGAAAAAATCTCTTCCAATGCTATTTATTAATTTTCTATTTTAACCAAGGAGGCTGCCAATCAGAACCAGAGCCCTATGTTAATAACTTACAAGGTCATTTCAAAGAAAAACAGTGATAAGACCGGACTCATGGTATAGCCAGAGCCTATATACAGCATGTAAGAACTTGAAAAGAAGAATGATTTGTGATGCTTTTATTCGTCAGAAAAAAAAAAAAAAGATAGAAACTCTCAGTTAAACACATAACACAACATTTTTTTCTACTGTGTGTTTAAGTCCAACACTCTACCTTGCTGGTTGTAGAACTGGGCATTTATGACCTGTCTGTGACCAATTTTAGGATTAAGCACAGCCCAATTCCTACTGGAAAATGCAATATGGACAGGTCATAAAAAGTTTTCAAGCTTTAATCATTGCATTGTTAGAGAAAGGAGAAGAAAGTAGAGCACAGGACATAGTTCTGTAATGATCAAAGATGCAATAAGAAGATTTGATTCTTTTTAATCATCTGGGTTTATACTGTGTGTTCTCCTTTTATAACCTCCTTTCCAAAATGTAAAATAATACACCCAGGCACTTTAGCACATTATCTTGCATCTGTGGATCCCCTCACTATGGAGTTCCCTGTGACAACAATTACTGATGAAGTGTGATTTTTTTTTTGACAATGTTTACACTACATTGGGACCAATACTAATAATGTTCTGTCAGCATTTCCATTATAAACTTTATTTTTTATGGATTTATGTCTTAGTCATAAACTTTTTATAGGTTGAAACTTGTTACTGAAATGATCAGATCAGAAATACTCTTCTTAGAATTATTTTGTCAATTTCTACTTTGAGTAGAGCTGCCTCCTTCCCCCCAAGGAAAAAAGCCACAGATGGCTGGATATCTGGGGGGAATGTACCTGCAGCTCTAAAGACCACAGGTACATTTAGCCACCAAACTCCAAAAAAGTCGAGTCAAGAATGACTTAAAGTTCATTGCAAAAATTAGTTTTAAGACAGCATGAAGCATTCTTCCAAAGCTAGCTAATACTTACCTCTAACTCATGTGAAAGTTGATCAGAGTTAATGACTCGGTATTTAAGATGTTAAAGTAACAGATTATATATATGAGGTAACTGTTGGGTACTTTAGTGGTGAAGCAGTTTCAGTTTCACATGTACAAAGGTTCTTCCAAACAAGGAGACTTGGTAAATTTTTTAGAAGAAAAAAACTCAAAATAATAAAAGAGATATTGCTACTAGGGTGAGGTTTGGCATGCAAAGTTTCAACACTGAGCAAGTTTTATGGCCAAGCTATATGTCCTTAAAAATAGGGCTTTATAAATGGAAGCACCGGCACAACCTTCACTATAGTATTGCAAACAGGAACGCTATTTTATGTAACCTAGACAAGAACGTCTTTTTAAAATCAAAAAGTTGGTCTATTTTAATATGTTGGGCTCAAAAAGTCATTACCAAAAATACTTAGAACCACTATTTTGCTTAAAGTCTCAAAGGTGCAAAGTCCTAGAAGAGACTTGGGACTGCGTAAGAGTTTTGCTTACGAAGTGTGGCCATAGTGTTTTCCCCTGCCACAGGTGAGCTTCAGGTGAGGAGCCCACTCTAGGAGAAGGACACATCTGGCAAAGACTGACAAAGAAGGGTGTTTGTCAAGAGGTGTGGGGTCACCTAAGAGTGTGACATTTCTTAGTCAATCCCCATGTTTCCAAAAAAGCCTTCCCTGTGTAAAGCTTACCACTCCAACTTTTAAAAGCATTGTTATCTCTATTAAAACATATTTTTTTTCTTTTTAAAATTGTTTTTGTTTTAAGGCAAATCAACAGAAGTATTTTGTTGTTGTTATTTGTTTTTCTTAATTATCTGGAAAGATAAGAGGCTACCACAAATCTTTCCATCTCTCAAAATTCCATCAGGCTAACTTTAGCCCTAAAATATGAAAACAGTAAAATGGAGTGGGGGGGAAAAACAACCCATCAAAAAGTGGCAGGCTTTATTTAGTGCCAGGTGTTGTCTCTTTATTAAAAAAAACCAAAAAAAAAAAAAAAAACCCAAAAAAACAAAAACCAAAAAACAAAACAAAAAAAACCCAAAAACTAAAAAATAAATGCTTAGAAAACATCAAAAACAAAAACAAAAACCATCTACCAAAAATAACTCTCATATCCCAAGAAGACTTTTAGTGGCCTTGGTCTCAGCATGGTCCTGCCAATTTCAAGCCCCGACCATACACGTAATCTCTAATGGAATCAGTGGCTACAAAGCGGCCAGCGTATCGTTAGTCACAATACAACAGTAAGGTTGTGAACATACCTGAGCAATGTTCAAGGTCTAGAGCATTGGAGGATGGGCAGGACAAGACAGGACAGAACAAAAATAAAGGAAGAAAAAAAGAAAAGACAAAACAGTGACTATGAGGCCAGCCTCAAGGAACCCAGAGTCAGTGCAAACCCTCCCACATGTTAAACCACCAAGACCAAACAAACACACACCAAAAAGAGGGGAAAAAAAAAAAAAATCAGCAAGGCGGCCACTCTGAAGATACCAAGGGTTATAAAATAGACACCCAAAGAACAAAAAAAAAGGTAAAAACTTATGGTTAAATCATGTGTGGTTTCTCTGGCAAAAGGTATACTTGAAACTGGCCTTATAGAAAAAAAAGCAATGCAAAACAAACCAACTTTAAAAATATCTCCTTTGTAAATTTAAACATTCTTAAAGCAATATATAAATGATAGAAACAATACATTGTTTAATAAACTATATATCAAAAAAAGTCATCAAAGAGTTCTTAACTGTTTTGCTCAGTTAGCTATAGCAAAGAAAAGAGAGAATAGTGCAGATTCTACGCAGATTTTACTGGTTTCCAGCATAGTACAGTACCTGCTTATTTAAACCTAGCATATTGCAGACCATATCCCTGGAATAAGGTTGTTCCAATACATATCTCAACAAAGCAGTCTGTGGTTCAAACAGATCCTTTAAAGGAAATAAGAAAGAAATTATTGCTTCAAGATTAACATAAATGTGAATTCAAATTATTAGAAATTAAGATTAAAAAATCCTAAGGTGCTTGTTACCTTCCCATAGTAGGCAAAATCTATTGGAAAAGAAATTACAGGATTTTAGTGCTTAAAGGTTATCTGGTCCCACCCCTTCATTTGAAAATCAAGGTGAAGGGACTTTCCAGTCATACACAGGGTAAAAATCCAAACAATATCTAGAACCAGATTTTCTAATCCCCCTTCCCTAGCATCCTTTCCATGCTCCTGAAAACATAAAACGTACATTTTTCCATTTCACTCTCCCCTTAAAACGTTAGGTTTATAGAATGAATTTTAAGTGTCAATTTATATAAATTTTTGTTCTTGGTGATAACATTTCTTAGATATAAAGAAGCATTCTTAAGACCTTCACTTCCATTTTCTGAAAACCTGACAGCTTATTTTCCAGAAGTTTCTAGCATTTAATTATACAATTTTGATAACCAAATCCACTTATTAATACCTACTACTATAAAGGTACACTTAAAAAAAAAACATTTTTCCCAGCATGGTGGTACACGCCTTTAATCCCAGGACTTGGGAGGCAGAGGCAGGCGGATCTCTGTGAGTTCGAAGCCAGCCTGGTCCACATAGGGAGTTCCAGGCCATTTGGAGCTACAGGGAAATCCTGGCTCAAAAAAACAAACAAATAACAAATAAATACGCAATCCTACAAAACATTTTCTCCCTTTTAAATGGATCCTTATCAAGCTACAGTCAGTCCTTCATAGCTCCACATCTGCTTTACTGCTCCTTTCATTTCTATTATATATGTGAAAGCAATAGGGAGACAAACATTTACGTCAAGTAGTATTTTTAAAGAATTCCTTGGGTCACTTTAAAATAGAATAATCAGAGTCTGCTTTATAGAGAAGTTTTTATAGCAAGGCTTTGTCTATGGATATAGGTGGGTGTTTTATTTGTCTGTTGGTTTTGGTGTTTTGAGACCTCTATCACTCTGGCCTGGAACTTGCTATGTTCTAGGCTGGCCTGGACTCCTCACAGTCCTGCCTCAACCTTTTAAGTACTGGGATTCAGCATGAGCCACAAGGATTGGCTTTGTGGATACAGTTCTAAGAAGGGCAACTACACTTTAAATAATAAAAAAAAAAGAAAAAGAAAACCCTAATCAATGAGACTCCTCATTAATATACAGTTTAGAAGGACTGGTGTTCCTTAAAGGGAAAAATTTCAACATTTCAGTGGTTATAAAACACTTTCTTTGGTATTAAAGCACTGTTTCCAAGTCTAAAGAGGACAAGTGATGATAGTGCTGTAAGTACCGAGTGCGTTCAAATCTGGATTCTTCCACTTTTCAAATGTAGAGCCTTAGACATGAATTCAATTTAAAACGGATTTTTTAATCCAAGTAGTTTACCAGAGGTGGACCACAAAAGCAAGTAGACATAAACCATAGAGCATATTTGGATAATGGAATAACATAAAAAATCACAGGCAGGTGTGGAGGTACGCTCAGTAACTCAAAAGGCAAAGGCAGGAGGATCGCTGCACATTCAAGACAAGCCTGTTTTACAGAGAGTTCTAGGCTTGCCAAGGCTATATAGCTAGAGAAATAAAAACTAAAGACAAAACACAGAAAATTTTAGGAACTATAAGCTATCTTCCTTTAGACCATTTACTTCTTCAGGTTATTAAGAGGCAATTTGGCATTGAACATTTTACAATCTACGATGACAACCATTAGATGATTGAAAGTTACACTACATTTAGCACATACCTTATCATAAGGCAAAAGGCCCTTCAAAGGAAAACGAAGAGTTGCAGGATCCAGTTTCCATGAGTTACAAATGGCACCGGAGTTATTTACAACTGGCAGAAGACTGCAACGGCCTGTATGCATTACAAAAACATTTCAGTCTAAATCTGACCATGACAGTATCAAGTCCTTTAACCTTCTTTTAATATTTAATGAATATGCATGCTGAACCACTCATTCAAAAACAGCAAAAAAAAAAAAAAAAAGTTTACAGGAGACTTCAGTATGAGAATTTTCTTTGATTACATTTCATCCAGATGGCTAAAGAATTAATTTGTATAGGACTTCCAAATTTAAAAATGTTGTGTTTTGTCCAAGTGTCTACAGCAGAGATCAGCGAAGTACAATTTATGGGCTAAATCTAGCTGGTCATCTGTTTCTGCAAAGTTTTACTGGAACACAGCTGTTTCTGAAGTATAGTGGCAAAGTTGAGTACTTTCCACAGACTGCAGACACAACAAAGCTGCAAATATTTGCAAGTGGGCCTGTACGGATAAAGTCGGAGATCTTCTGTCTACATTCCACAGCTTTTTGCAGGAGGGCCTTCAATATAGCATATGTCCTTCAACTAACATGCCTGATTGCTTAGTCAACAGTCACCTAGATGTCCCATGAGCACTTCAAACTCAATACATTTAAAATGAACTCAACATCATTTTTCTTAAAACCTGTTTCATTTTTTGAATTCATTAAATGACATTAATATTCACTCACAAAAACCAGAAGGCTCAGAATTTTCTTTCTAGTGTTTGCATAAGTTTACTTTTATATTTACACTGTCTAAATTGGCACTGGCTCATAAGAAATGCTCAATACTTAACCATTAAAATAATGGTCTGTATTCCAAGATAGTTATGAGGTCACCATGATTTCTAGAAATGATTTAGAAATATATCTGGGCACTGCAAATAGTATCAAATGAAAGAATCAAACCAAACACCAGACAGTGGATAGACAGCTAAATAAATGCAATGAAAAACAAAGATGTGAATTACTATGGACTAAAAGAGCCTGGTATTCTCATGTCCTGTGGCCACAGAAGAACAAGTCTGCTGACATTTCAGTTGCCTGGAGTTTAAGTTTTTAGTTTTTAGAGATAAGGTCTTACTATGTAGTTTCCCAAAGTTTAAAAACCATTTCCAATGGCAAGGAATAGTGGAGAGGTAGGAGTACCTTTGTGAGATCAAGGCCAGCCTGGTCTACATAGTGAATTCCAGGCCAGCTGAAGCTACAGGGGACCCTGTCTACAAAAAAAAAAAAAAAAGGAGCATTTCCAGGGGGTGGAGATGTAGCTTAATTGGTAGACTGCTTGCTTAGCATACAGTAAGCCATGGGTTCAATCCCTAGCAACACAAAAAGTTGGTGTGGTGGCACATTCCTATAATCTCAGCACTTGGGAGGTAGAGACAGATCAGAAATTCAAGATCATCTTTAACTAGATAGTTTGAGGTCATCCTGGGATATATGAGTCCCTGTTTCAAAAAGCTAACAATAAGATAGAATAAAAATTACAATTAAAAATTACAAAATAAAATAGTGTCCCTAATCACCAAGTAACACAACCTCTAGAAAGATTGTATCTGAAACTTACACCAACCCATGATGGCTTTCCCACACTGTACAGGGGATCTGAAAATAACTGTGAGGTTGTGGTTAAGCTCCTAAAGAGTTATAAAAATGACAAGGCACTTACATATATACAGCTTTGTTCAACAGCTAGGTTACTAAAAATCAGGTACTATTAAGTGTATTTTTAATTATAATCCTACCACAAATGGAGTTAATCCTTGCTGTGGGCCTGAAGGTATCCACAAAGTCCGATACCAGGTTTCCAAGTAGCTGTAGAGAGAGAAAGAAAATAAGTAAATATAAAAATAAGATGAAAATTATCCTGAATAGAACAGAGTGATCATTTATCTAAAATGAGATAAAATGAGCAAAGATTTAGTATAAAGCTGGCACACAATACACACTCAAACATTAGCTCCCTTCTTCTCTCTTCTAGACATTTACCAGTCCACCTGTGCCTGAGTTAAAGTCACATGACCATAGCCATAGCTATTTGATCAAGCTGTATAATTTTTAAGCACATGGCAGCTATGCTTAAAGAATAAAAATCATAAATATGAACTTTAAAAGGGTCCAGAAAGATGGTTCAGCAGGTAAAAGCACTTGCTGCACAGACTTGATGAGTGTGATTTCTGGATCCCACTGTGGAAGAACCAATTCTCCAAGTTGTTCTCTGATCTCTACATGGGCACTGTGACACACACACACCCTAACCCCATACCCGTGCCCCTCACACATATACACAGAAACATGTATCTGTATAGAAACAAAATTAATTTAACTTTTCGATGAAAATTTCTATTAAGAATTTTGGGAAAAGTCAAACTTACCCAGTGTGGAAGTTTTCCCTCGGGATAGAGCTTCCTGATCTCTGTGACTGCAAAATAGGCTGGTAATAAGCAGGCATTCCGCTCCAAGATGTAAGCTATAACCTGAGAAGAGTAAGAGGGCAATGCTTGACTAGCCTCACATCAGACCTTGAAACACAACAGCAGCAACAAAATGGATATTAAAAAGTAACAAGTCAGCTGGTGAGGAAATAGCTCAAAGTGCTTGCAGTTCCCCACACCCCAATATAGGAAAGACTTTGGGGGGAAATGTTGGCAAAAGCACACACCAGTTAATTAGACAGAAAGAATAAACTCAAGCGATTATAGATTGTGACTCCAGTTAATCACAATATACACTTGAAAATGTCTAAGAAAGTAGATTTTCAGTTTTCTGGACAGATGGCTCAGTGGCTAAGAGCACTGGCTGCTCTTGCAGAGGACCTGGGTTCAGTTAGCAGCCACACAGCAGCTAATAATTATCTGTAACTCCAGGTCCAGGGGATCTGATGCCCAGTTCTAGCCTCTTCAGGCATTGCGTGACACAGTGCACTTACATGCAGGTAAAACACTTATACGCATAAAATATAAATAATACATAAAATATTTAATAACAAGGAAAAAGAATGTGAGTGGTACATGTTTAAAATTATAACACTTGGAAGGTGAACACAGAAGAATCAGGAATCAGGAGTATAAGGATATCCTCAGCTATACAGTGAGTTCAAGGCCAACTTGGGCTACATGAGACCCTATCTCAAAAGAAAAAAGACCATAAGGTAAGGTAAACTGTATTTAATTTCTTGACTTATTCATTCCACAATGTGCACAAACACACACAAATTTTAACCTGTCAATTAAAAAAGTAGAATTATTACTTCATAAACTTATTGGGTTTAAATATTAACATAAAGGAATTCCTTTTAGGAATGTATGAAAATGAAGACTAATAAATGGTAGAATGGATTGCTGAAGGATAGGAAATATCTTAAAAGTGCTTTAAATATTCATAGATTTAGGAGAGAAACAGAATCAAATAATTCTTGCATTATTAATAGCTACAAAGATGAAAGCAGTCAGTCTGTTTCACAAGGTTTAAAATAACATCGAGCAGAAATTAAAATTTTTAAATTTCCTTTTGAAATATAACTTTGAAACATCTTTAAAAACAGAAATGATTATTATTATTTTTTTTTTGTCAATGAACTTGAGTACTGTGCTGTATTGTAGTGTGTGTGTTGTATGTGTGTGTGTGCCCATGTATGTGCCTGTGGAGGTCAGAGGTAGACATAGAGTGTTTTCCTCTCTTCCTCTATTTCCACCTTAATTTTTGAGACAGGATCTTATTGAACTTGAAGTTTGTCCTTTTTGTCCAGGCTGGCTAACCAGTGAGCTCACTGGTTAGCGCCCAGATATGCCTTTCTCTGTTCCCAAGTTAGGGTTTCAGGCGTGTGTAGCCACACCCAGCTTTTTTACATGGGTGCTGGGGATTTGAACTCTGGTCCTCTTGTTTTTACAATAAGCAATCTTACCCACTGAGTTATCCCCACAGTTCCAGCTTATTTTAAGTTTTTTTTTGGGGGGGGGCGGGGGGCAGGTCTTTTTGAGACAGGGTCTCCCTGTAGCCCCAGCTGACCTGGAGCTCACGATGTAGACTCGACTGGCCTTGAACGCACATCTAAACAAATCTAGATTTCCTGAGGCTATGACCAGTGGACTTTAGACATGTTTCAGTTACCTCTCTTGCTGCCAGAAGCTGCTGTACAACAGCAGAGCTCACTGTATTAGGGATGGTCAAGATTTTCTCTAAAATCACTTTTAAGAGATCACGAACACCCTAGTTTAAAAAAAATAAAACAACACAAAGACATGGGTTAAAACTGAAACTACTAATGATGTCCTTTACGTTAGGCCAAACACTCAAAGGTTTTAAGAACATACATTCCATACATTCCTTCAAGGGTGCACCTTTATAATTTTCCAAATCATGGTTAACATTTAAGTTTCTGACACTAACCCAAGAAGAATAATGCTCCATAATATAATAGAATTCAAATAACATCTTGTGATATGAACAGAGAATATTATTTATAAATAAAAAACTGAACTTTCTATCCTCCTTCCCACAAAACATTAGAAGAGTTTCTATAGTTACAAAGGTCAAACAAGCACAATGTGACATACATGTGACTAGGACTTGAAAACATTCTGAAATGCAGGGAGCAGCACTAGGCTTCTTGGTGACAACCTGCTCACTCCTTTGGCATGTTGTAGGTTCATTCCCCTTGCTTACTCACCCAGCACATAAATTTCCCAAGTGAACCAAACAAGAATATTCTGTTAATCATCTCCACGTACCTATTACCAGTGGCATTATCTGATATATGGAGAAAAAAAATTTGTTCAACATGGTTTTTGTATTGTTTTTTAAGACAGGGTCTCATGTAGCCCAGGCTGCCTCAAATTTGCTGAGGTGACCTGAACTCATGATTCTCTTGTCTCTCCCTCCCAAGTGCTGGGACTACAGGAATGACCACCACACCTAGCTCTCAATATGTATTTTTAGTATCAATTATGTAACCAAGCTTGTAGAAAAGCAGGAAATACACATGGAATAATAACATGTGCTTTTAAAGCATCATACAAATAAATACAAGTCAAAAAGTCTAAGAGAAAATAATCTGAGAAGGCTTCTATAATTAACTTTGTGGTAAATCAGGATTTAACCAATAACTATTTGGCCATTACTACACCACGTCAGACTGACAAAAATATAGACACAGTGCATAAGGTCATGTACTGGCAATTCCTTAAAAGAGGACAGTAACAAAACTGACTGGTAAAGCCGAATGGCTTTTGCAGCCATGAAGCTCCTGAGTGTGTGATGAAAACAACTAGAGACTGCATGCTGTTTTCAGTCAAGAGCAGAATACTGAAGACATCTATTAAGGAAGGACACAACTCCAAAATAGATCACAGCAGAGCTGAAGCAGGGATCACTGCCTTCTCGGTCCTACAAACCCCTGCTCTGTACTCTCATTTGAAGGGGCTCCAACATCAAAAGGTTTCTGGCATCATGGAACAGATGCAGCTGTGACTTCTCTGTTCCATCATCAAAATTCATTAGCCCCCTGGAGTTTTTTAAATGTTAGGAGAATAGAGAAACTATAAAACTATTGAGTATTTTAAATCCTTTAATATACAACAACAATGAAATAGGCAAGTTATAGATATTCTTCTGATGTTTCTCTCACTTGAAAATAAGATATATATTCCCTCAAATTAATCATGTCTGAAAGCAATTGCTTTTTATAATTAGAAAATAGTACCTTGTAATCCACTCCCCCAATTATTTTCCGAATGAGCTTAAATGTTAAGGCCCAAAGCTGTGTCCTTTCCCATTCTAGAGTGTCAGAGTTTATCAGAGATTCACAAACCATCCTGGGAACAAAACAAAACAAAACACCCATTCTAGTTACAAGAGAGAATTCTGCAAGTTCTATAATGGTTATGGTCTGTGTACACTGGGTATTTGTCCTACTAAGCATGCTTCATAAAAAGTCTATTATTACTTAAGCAGTTTTAGATACATGTTAACATTTTCCTTTTTTTATTTATAGAAAAGTTCAAACATCTAGTAAGACTAAGTAATACACATCATGCTGTAAATAAAAAGAAACTATCAATAGTTTTTGGTTGTTTACTAGCTGGTGGCAGTTTGTATCTTTTCAAGATAATCGCAATAGATTTTCAATTGCAGACTTTTTTGAAATGTGACAATTGACACATGTCCCTTGGAGAGTGAGGGGAGGGTCTATGTTGCCTCTGTTAATCTGAGCATGTCTCGACTGTGGAAAGGGGTAGAAGATGGCTTCCAGCCTGTATTTCTTTTGCAAACTTCTTCTGAATTCTACCAGGCTGTGAGAAAGCACAGGACACAACAGAGGCCATGCGTAGGTCCTGGCTGATAGCCCCAGTGGTGGTCTTAGACGAACCAACCACTAGATGAATGAGTGTGGAAGGCTTTGTAAGGACTCCAGCCTTGCCACACTGGACTGTGATTATGAGGCACCATGAAAACAAGCTGCCTCCTAAGCTAAGTTCTCCATGAGCCTCACGTCCTTCTTTCTTCCCTGATTTTTATATATCAACCTCAGATAAATTCTAGAACTTCATGAAGAAAATTCTCTGGATTGTCCATAAGCAACAAATACGTACCTGGGTGGAAGAAGACCAGTCTCAACTGCCATTGCTAGGCAGTCATACAGAAAAGAAATTCTTTTAGGACTATGTTGGCTGTGAATAAATTTAACAATCCACTGGATGCATTGTTCATGGGACTCCTAAAAAAATTAGAAAATGATTTTACATTAGGCCTAAAGTTGTAGTTCTTAACTAATAAATAGTTACTAATATACCTGGGCATAGATCAAGATTATGAATGAAATATTTCGCTGTATACATGAGTAGATAAAAATAATTTCTAAAAAAGCAAGATAAAAGAAGTCAGATTTAATTGTGGGTATAGTAGTATATCCTTATAAACCCAGTACTTGAGAGAATGAGGCAGGGGGATTGCACATTTAAGGGCAGCCTGAGCTATACATAGAGTTTAAACTCAGCCTGAGCTATCTTGCAAGACCCTCTCTCAAAATAAATAAATCAATTTAGGTATAGTATGTGTTTGTTATAGAATTTTAAAAATTTTGCAATTACACAGATTAAATTCCTACTATTTTTAATATACACAGGACCTCCAAAAGTAGTAAGATTATATTAATATATTTATGGTCAACAGAAAACTCTAATACAGATAACTTAAGCTACTATAAGCAGTCCCTCTATTGGGAGACATACTCTAATCACTGGTGGAAAAATATATTATAGATGGGTACTCCAACCTCATGAAAATTTAGATGAATCTAATGTATATGAGCCCAAATCAGAGGCCATTATGATTATAATAATAAATCGAATTTCTATGCTTGCAAATATTAAATCTGATACCAAGAAGTCATGCTCATATCAAGGTCTGCCTTTTAGGCTATCTCTGCTGTCTCTAAGAAGAATCTACATGTCTGGCTCAACCATAACATCACTACCCCATCATTGTCCCTCAAAGTTTATTTCTGGCTTCTCCATTAGAATACAAATTTCTTGAAGGGTCGGTCACACCTTAACTCATAAAATGCTTAGTGAATTGTTTTAAAAACCAAAACATGGCCAGCAAGAAGGCTCAGTGGGTAGAAGTACTTGCTGCCAAGCCTCAGGACCCATACTGTAAACAGAGAGAACCAATTCCCAACTAAGTTTCCTCTGACCTCCACACACAAGCTGTGGTACATGTGCCCACAAACACATACAAACACACACAAATTAAATGTGAAAAAACTCACAGAAATTAAAAAAAATGAAAATATGTGAATGATGTAAAATACTTGAGAGAAATGCAAAATAAAATTGTATTGAGATAAAATTTCTCAGTGTTAAAAAAAAATTCTCAGGCTGGAGAAATGGCTCAGTGGTTAAGAGCACTGACTGCTCTGGCAGAGGACCTGGGTTCGATTCCCAGCACCCACATGGCAGTAAGAACTGTCCTTAACTCCAGTTCCAGGGGAATCTGATGCCCTCTTCTGAGCTCTGGCATTGCACGACACAGGTGCACTCACATACATGCAGGCAATACACTCATACACATAAAATAAAAATAATAAATAAAATATTTTAAAAATTCTCAGTGTTTGATAGACAAGGATCAAAAATTATTACACGTTATGCCTATAAAGAATAGATATTCTCATGTATTGCTGTTGGGAGTATAAACTAGGAAAACCACTATAGAAAAGAATTAGGTAATGTCTGTAAAAATTACAGCTACAGCTGAGAATGGTTGAACATTCTTATATTCCAGTACTCAGGAGGGAGAGACAAGAGGATCATGAGTTCAGAGTCAACATAGGGTACACAGCATGTTCCAGGCAAATCTGGGCTACATAGTAACTGTGTCCCCACAATGCCTACCCCCACCAAAAATGAAGCAAAACATGAGTATATCCTTTGATTCAACAATACTACTTCCAGTAACTGATCTTATGTCTGTTGAATAATATTCACCACAACACCGATTAAAGTGTAAAAGTTAAGCAAAAAAGAAAAAAATCTAGCTAGGTCTGATGGCACCTGCCTATCACCCACCCCAGAAAGCAGAGGCAGGGGGACTGCTGCAAGGTCAAGACTTCTGTGGGTTATAAAACAAGACCCTACCTCAAACAAACAAAAAATATAAAAATAATCCAGGGGCTGGTTAAATCAAGGGTGGTACAACTGCACAGGAATCTGCTACCCTGCTAAAAGAAACAGGAGAGGAAGAAGTAACTCTTGGTGAACTCATCTGAAATAGGAAAGTAAGGACAGCTTGGGCTAATAGCATAAACATTTTGTCTCAATAAATATACAGTTCTTATATGTATAAAATACTTACAATGGAGACATTGGCTTAAGCTAAGAGGAACAGGTAGCTAAGCTAGGATAGATAGGAAGGGGCTGGGCTTTGGGTCCACTCTTCCACTTTCCTACTTTGAGTCATATGAAGATGCTATTATTTTTTAAATAATTAGAACAAAAATTTTAAGCCTTAGCACATTACCTTTATGATCCAAATTTGAGTGGCAAACTTCACCATTTGAGAGGTCATTAACTCACTTGCTACAAAGGGTGCTCCAGGAGAATATAATGCAGTACTGAACAGAAATTTTTTTTTTTTTTTAGGGAGAAACAGTTTATTTAAGGTATGGCTGCTAGCTGTATGCACTGAACCTTTTAAGCAGCACAGATTACAACTTTTTCATAGATGTATTTCCTGGCAGCTATTCTTTGTTACGAAGTTTACTGTTTCCCCATTTTTTGGAGTAATGTCTCTGTGTCATTTTAGAAACTTTATGTCCTTATTAGCACATCTTTGTATCTTTGCTATAGTACCTTTATTATGGTATCCTTATGACACTGTAATTCTTAGAATTAGTGACAACTTCCCTGTACAACAAAAGTTTAATATATGCACTTCCAACTTGGAAACGAAATAAATACAAAATGGAATAAAAATGGTCTTCTATGCTCTTGGTCTTAACATCATTTTCCTTGAAACTCCTGTGCTGTGAGAACAAGTGAAGGAAGAAGTGAACGTGCAGGCTGAGGAGCAAGAGAAGGAAGATGAGGTAGAGGTCCGAGCAGACAGAGGTTGGGGTAGACCAGCTTGTGCAAAGGAGCAGAAATGAGGGTGCTGGAGGCTGGGACGATGGTACAAGTGGCTGAACTGGATGTTGCTTTTGGTAATTCCTCTCAGAGGATGTGGAACTTCACTCTCTGATCTGTGACATGACCTCTGAGACTGCCTAGCTCACAACCAAAACAGCCCCTGTTAGCCCTCTGCCCTGGACTGGTGGTGTGTGGCATTCTGAACTAATTTTGTTCTGTCTTGTGACCAAGTATAACTTATGTACAATAAATCATCTTTTACTGAATAAATAAATAAATAAATAAAGTAAAAAGGTCTTCTCACATAATATGGAAGAGTTTTAAAAACATCGCCCACTGTGTTGGTATCACCTTGAATTCTCAACACAGCTTAGCCACCGAAGCAAACCTATGAACGCAAATGTAAACTAGAATAAAAATAACGGCAAGGTTATTTTTCCCTTTCTTAAATGATTTTAAGAAAAATAACAAAGTAAATGTCAAAACAAAACAAAACAAAACAAAACAAAAAAAAAGAAAGAAAGAAAAGAAAAAAAAAGAGCCAAAAACCATCAACTGGTTTATGCTCACCTGAGAAAGGCCACTCCAAAACTGTCTGAAGGCTGCCAAACAGCTGATGAGTTTTGTTTTTTCATCTTCAGGAGAATCCATAAACATGCTAGAAAAGCAAAATCACATTATTTGCCACTCATTTTAATGGGTAATTTAACATAACCAGGAAGGTAGATTTTTATAACCTTCCCCCCAAACCAACCTAAGTAAAATCTTCCAAAGATACAATCTCCTACACCCACAAAAACCTGTCACAGCATGTACTCACCCTGGGAAAGCCTCTTCTATAATTTCTGTTTTCTGTAAACAAACAAATAGTTGTAAACGACCTGAATAATAATGGAGGTGGTGGGCGAGTCCCCCTTAGAGAAACAGTCCAGGGCATCATTACAAGTCACCTTTTTTTAAAAAAATTTATTTAATAACCACATAGAAGAAGCATTTCATTATATCAGCATTGACATATTCAATAACAATTTTCTGAGCTAGGATGCATCTCTTACAAAATTGGCTGTACATTTTTTGGTTTACAGTTGAATTATTACAGTTACACAATATTGTACTCAGTACAGACCACCTTTTTTAACAACACGTGGGAACGAATGGAGTCCTGAAGATGTCAAGAGACACTTCGAATCTGACAGGAGTTTGGGAATCACCAACCCTCAGCGTGTACACACACACACACACACACACACACACACGGTGTTAAAAGAGACTGGAGAGTTTGGGAATCACCAACCCTCAGCGTGTACACACACACACACACACACACACACACGGTGTCAAAACAAAAGAGACTGGAGAATTTGGGAATCACCAACCCTCAGCGTGTACACACACACGGTGTCAAAACAAAAGAGACTGGAGAGGTTGCCCAGGCTGTCTCTCCCTGTCTCTCCCTCCCAGGGCCATCGCCCTGGATTGCTGGGCTGGCAGTTGAACTCACCACCACCTCCTCGAAGATGCTCTGCAGCTGCGTCTCCATCGGTCCGTTGAGCCCGGGCTCCCAGGGGGTCCGCCTAGGCACTGGTAAGCCCCTAGCTCCCGGAAGAAAGGAGCCGAGGGGCGGAGTCACCGGAAGGAAGCCGTCCCTCTCTCACGTCGCTTTCTTCCAGAGCCTGGCAACACACTGGAACCTGCCGGGAAGACCGGGAGGGCCTCGTGGTCACGCTTTACAAGTCCCCCCGGATGCCTGTAGCCCTGTCCGATGGTTCCGTGTACAGAAGCTGTCCTTGCTCAGAACAGAGCTTCATGCCTTCGCCTACGACTCCAGGTCGCCACCTCCTGGCTAAAAGCGGGAGTTGCTTCATGTTCAGAATTCGCTTGCAGGCTGGAAGCCTACGGGCTGCCTCCAAAACTAAGCTAATGTGGAAGTGACTGACCTTCTGAAGAGTTTAAGCAACGCTTTTCTCGCCGTCGGGGACCCGGTCTACTCAACTATGATAACCTCAGCACCTAGGCCAGCGACGGACATTTCAACAACTTTGGATGTTGAAAAAAGACGAAATGAAAGCTTCATCAGAAATGTGTACTTGAGCGATGGTTAACACATTAGCTAAAATACGAACTGTTTTGCTTCGGCCTGGAAAATTTCTGATAGCCCTTTGCAACCGCCCCATCAGACACCTCCCCACGTCCAGAAGACACCCACTTTTAATTTATATAACCATTTGTTTTTCATATTCTTTTTGTTTTTATTTTATGTGTATGAGTGTTTTGCCAGAATATATGTAAGTGTACTGCATGCGTGCAGTCCCAACGGAGGTCAGAAGAGGGTGTTGGATGCCTTGGAACTGGAGTTGTGGACAGTTGTTAAACACCATGGGAGTGCTGGTAACCAAAACCTGATCCTCTGCAAGAAAGCCAGTGGCAAACAGCTAAGCCATTTCTTCAGCCCCCTTTCCATGTTCCTGATGTTTTAATAATTGGACTGTTAAAGTATTTTGTCTACTATCAATCAGACAGTTTTTCATAAACTTGTTCATTTGTGATTTTAATACGTTCAGTATCCAAGTTTTTCATCATATATAGCCAACATTTTCCTCTGTCTTGGCTTGCTCTCCCCTCTCCCTTCTTGTCCTTTTTCTTTTCAAGACAAAGTTTAATATAGTCCAGGCTGACTGGAACTCTATATAGCCCAGGTTGGCCTTGAACTCACAATCCTCCTACCTCAACCTCCAATGCTGCAATGCTTTCTTGTTTTCCAAGAGTGTCTTTCATCAGTAAATAAAATTAATCTTAATGAGTACTCCCCATTAATTGCTATTGTTTGCTTATTTTTAAATATTTATTATTTTTATTTTACATGTATGAGTGTTATGCCTGCATGTAAGTAAGTCCACCCGTGTCGTGCAATGCCCACGGAGTGCAGAAGAGGCTGTTGGATCCCCTGGAACTGGAGTTACAGACAGTTTTTAGTTGCCATGTGGGTGCTGGGACTCGAACCCAGGTCTTTCGCAAGAACAGTGTTCTTAACTGCTGAGCCATCTCTCCAGCCCCTTGTTTTTTGAGACAGGGTATCCTTGTAGCTCCAGCTGGCCTGGACTCACTATGTAGACCTCTATCTCAGGGTGATTCGCATATCTCTGCCTCCCAAGTTCTGGGATTAAAGGAATGTGCCACCATGCCTGGCCTCATCATTAACTTTTAAATTGGGGTTATTGTCTTAATATCAAGAATTTTTTGACTACGCTAAGGTCATGATGCTATCTTCAATGTTTTCTTTTAGAAACTTTAGTTTTAGCTTTGATATTTAAGTGAATGACCCATTTGAATTTCCTTTTATGGAAGGTAGGAGGTTGTGACTTTCCTTGGGGGAGTTGTAAAGAAATTTCTAACATCACAGATAGAGGGCACTGACAGACTAAAGAAAGGATTCCATTCAAGTCTGGTTTGGTGAACCAATGAGTTTATTGGGGTTACTTGTAGGTGCATGGGTGACTCAGGCAGTCTACCAGGACATGGCACCCAAGCATGGATGACTTACAGAAAGATGTACTTTTCACAATAAGTTGTTTACTAATATTGGGGAGTAGAGGGAACTTCTGAGAATCTTGTGAAGACCTCCTTAAAGTTTTATTTTTCTGAAACAGGGTCTTATGTAACCCAAGATAACCTTGAATTTACTAAGTAGCAGAGGATGACCTTGAACTGCTAATCCTCCTGCCTCTGTCTCCTGAATTCTGGGATTACAAGTGTGCGTCACCATGTTTGATTTATGTGGTGTTGGGGATTGAATTTAGGGCTTCTACTAACTTAGCTACTGCCCCAGTTCTCCATGAAGGAATGTTCACAGGCCCCATCTCATGGGGGTCTCATGTAGGTGACCAAAACTCCTCTGTTTCATGACAGTGATGATAGCGCAAACTAGCCTCAAACTCTATATCATCCTACCTCAGCTCTTTTTGAGTTCTGGGATTACAGGTATATAGGACCATACCTGGCTTTATTACTGAGAATTTTTATTGTGAATCAATGTGGAAATTTGTCAAACACTTTCTTTTTGATCTTTCATGCCTTTTAGATAATCAACCTTCTTCAATCCATAAGGAAAATCACTGGTGGCTTCTCAAGTTCCTTTAACTCTTTTGGAGTCTGCTAAGCATGCACAATTTCCTGAGAGGTGCTAGGCAATAACATGATGATTCCCCAGTCATGGCCTGACAGACACTTAGACACAGCAACTATAATATGCACATACAGCCACTGCAAGTCCTTGTTTACTGTGCAGTAGCTACTAAACACTGAGGTGAACTATTCAATTTTCCTACTGGAGAATTGCTTAGTGACTTATGTTTAGTATGTTGTTTGCTATGACTGCTATAAGAAATTGCCACAGACTGGGTAGATTAAATAATAGAAATTTATTTTCTCAGGGGCTGGAGAGATGGCTCAGCAGTTAAGAACACTGGCTGTTCTTGCAAAAGACCCGGGTTCATATCCCAGCACTCACATGGCAGCTAACAACTGTAATTCCTGTTCCAGGGGATCCGACGGTCTCTTCTGTCCTTCGTGGGCATTGCATGACATGGGTGCACTTACATACATGCAGGCAATACACTAGTGCACATAAAATCAAAATAAAAATTTAAAAAAGAAGTTTATCTTCTCACAATTTTGGAGGCTAGAAGCCTAAGGTCAAGATGTAAGCAGGGCTGGTTTCTTCTGAGGCCTCTCTCCTAGTTTGATATATGGGCATCTTCTTGTGTCTCTTCATCCTCCTCCTTGTCCTCCTCCCCCTCCTTTTAATTTGAGACAAAATCTCATGTATCCTAGGTTAGCCTCAAACTATCTCTCACTGTTCACTGGAGCTCACACTATTCTGATCCTCCTGCTGCTACCTCTGGAGTGCTAGGATTGCAGGCATACACTGCTGCCACACTTGGTTTATGCAGGGATAGGATAGAACCCAGGGCTTCCTTCATGCTAGGCAAACATTCTAACAACTGAGCTACATCTCCACCTCCCAAATTTCCTCTTATTTGTAAGAACTCCAGTTGCAGTTGTACTGAATTGGGGCTCACACTAATGATCTTATTTTACTTTCATGATTTATTTCTTTTTGAAAAAATTTTATTATTTTTATTTTTGTGCATATTAGTGTATTACTTGCAGGTGTGTAAGTGCACCCATGTAGTGCAATGCTCACAGAGGTCAGAAGATGGCATCAGATCTTCTGGAACTGGAGTTATGGATGGTTGTTAGCTGCAATGTGGGTGCTGGGAACCAAACCTGGCTCCTCTACAAAAGCAACCAGTGCTCTTAATGACGGAGACATCTCTCCAGCCCCCTTCATTATTTCTTTAAAGAACATGTCTGTAAATATAGCCATTTATAATTTAGGCCAAACCCTCTGATCCCAATATAATAAACACCATTTCTTTAAGGCCTTTCTCCCTTTCTAGCTATAAACTTGTAATTTTCTAGGACTTTCACCAGAAGCCCACTTAATGATAAAAAGTATTGTAAGCACTTGTGCAACCCTAGTGGCTCCTGCTTTTATTTTGTCAGGTTGTAATCTATTACAAGGCATATCTGAAGCTACCCTATATCATCTCACTTATTGAAAAAGAGGAAAAGAAAAATGTTTCTTAGTGTGCTGGATAGCTTTAGTGTCAACTTGACACACCTGGGTTGAAGGAGCCTCAATTGGGGAATTTCCTTCATTGGACTGGCCTGTGGCCATGTCTGTGGGGCATCTTCTTGACTGTTGAGTGATGTGGGAGGGCCCAGCCCACTGTGGGTGGTGCCACCCCTGGGAAGGTGGGCCTGTGTTGCTTCAGCTTCTGCTTCTGCTTCCAGGTTCCTGCTCTGAGTTCGTACCTTAGGCTCCCTGATGAACTGTGACCCAGGAGATGTAAAATAAAATAAACGTTTTCCTCCTCAAGTTGGTATTGGTTAGAGTGTTTTGTCACAGCAGTGGAGAAACAAACTAGAACACTTAGGAACAGTTTGAGATGCAGCTTGAGAGGCACCAAAATGGTATATACCTCTTTCTAAGACACTTAATTGCATGACTCGTGTTTGTGAAGCCATGCCCACCCTCTCAAAGTGTACTTTTATTCTTCCCCTGAACACCTTCATATTCTATTTTAATTTATTTTTTAAATTAATATTTGGGGCTGGAGAGATGGCTTAGCAGTTAAGAGCACTTGCTGCTCTTGTAGAGGAGCTGGATGCTCAGCACCTACATTGGGTGACTCAAAACCACCTATAATTCCAGTTCCAAAGGATCCAAGACATACACATGAAAGTTAATTAATTAATTATAAAAGTACATTTATTCATTTGTGTGTGTATGCACATGAGTGCCCTGGTATGTCGGGGGGGGGTGTCAGAGGACAGCTTGTGAGAGTTGGTTCTCTCCTAACACCTTGTTGGTTTAAGGGATGGAACTTAGGTCTTTATCGAGTACCTTAACCTGCTGAGCCATCTCTCAGGTCCCATATTTTTAATAAACTCCAATTCTGCTTCATACTGGCTTTT